ATATAACAATGAAGCAAATTACTCAACATGCATGAGACTTTGGATATGTGAAAGAAAACCAAATAGAGCACAGCCAGGTACTGAGGGAACTTAATTATATGTATTCCTCCATTATATTAAATTGACATTTCCTTACCTCAGGAAGGAATACACATAATAAAGCAAGTCTGGAAGCAGCTGTATTTAACTCTGCTATTATTTAAGATTTAAAACTATTACTAAGGACAGTTCTCTCTTTACCTCTGTGTGTGTGCCTATGATTGTTGCTATTAAAAACTTTGTAGCCAGTGGGTATAAATGATAAGGAAAGCACTCTAGGATGGCATATATTCGGAATGGGTCATAAACCAAAACTAGAATTAAAAAATGTAACTAAAATAATGACAGTGGAGACAGTGCACTAAATAAGTTATTCACTCTGCAATGGACCCAGGCCCATGTGTGTGATTTACTTTTTGGTTTGTGAAAGAAGCCTGCAGCGGTCTGATTGACAACGCTGAATGGGGCTGGGAGATGGTCATGAGGGTGACAGATTCCTATAATTCCAAGTCCTGCTGAGGAAGACAAACTTCCATGCTTAGCTACTTTGGACCAAGGCTGGTCTTGTTCACTTTTAACTGTCTTAGGTCATAGATAAAAGCTTCACAGAAATATTTCTGCACTGTATGAGCAAGTCAACCCAATCACTCATGATAGATGAAGGCTTCCTGTATTTGCTTTCAACAGGCCTGTCTTGGTTATAAAAGTACACATCTTTTTCCTCTGAGGAATTATTAATCAGGGTAGATTACAGGCATCAGGAATAAGCTCATTTATTTAGGGGGGCAGAAGAACGCACTCCTTGGGCGTGCAGGCCCCGGGCTCAGGCTGCCTAGGCTGGAGTTCGGCTCTGCAGCCGACAGAGGTGTGACCCTAGGCCACTCGCCAGGCTTCACCCACCTTGGAGGTAGCTACTGTCATCCCCATTTTATAGATGAGAGGCTGAGTCGTAGGAAAGTTATGTGCCTGGCACCTTATTACCTAATACCTGGCAGAGAATAGGTACTCAAGAAAAGCTGGCTATTACTGTCTGAGATGTTAGGAGCCACAATCTGGAAGCTATAGAAGTCATCTAGCTGAGGACACTTTCTAACGCCATCTAGAATACAAGGTCTGTGTTGCTCCGGTGTAAAAGGCTTTCCAATATTTTCGAGAGAAGGGTCCAGATTTCCTATCTGAGGCATCCCAGGAAAGGTTTGCACTGTGGTGTGGGCTCCATTCCCATGGGTTTTGTTAGCTCCATGTGGCACCCTACCCTCCACCAAGGATGGGGTTACCACCTTAAATTAATTACCTCTGCTGGAGAACTCTGGCCTTTTGGTCTTTCAGGTTTATTTGTAAGTATGTGTGATCATGTGGTGGATGATTCTGTTTACTGGCCTCTATAGGGCAAAGCTTGACCTTTGATCTCTGGTTTCCTGGCTAACAGCAGAGCCAGTCCTTGGAGATGGAGGTCTCACCAGTATTAACATATTCCACAGATAGAGGATACTCAGGATCCTAACCAAGAAACTATCCTACTTTCTTTTACATGAATACCTCCAAGATAATACTGGAGGAGTCTTTTTGTTGTTGTTCTCTAAAATTTTGAGAAACAAAGGTCTGTGGTTTATTTCAAATGCTACATTAAAATACTTTACTATTTTTAAAAGAAAACTAACAGCTTTAGGATAAAAAGCTTGAATGTGCTTAAGAGAAGACTTATTTAATGGAGAATTTGCTTCATATGTAAAGATCCTTCTGAGATTCTCTAAGCACAGGATCATTGCAGTTTTATCGTCATTTCCATCAAAGTACAATTCATATTAATTAATACTACCATTTTTTACCTTACATAAAATACTTTATCTGCATCCTACTGTGGTAGTTTGTGGCTGAATAATGAATTTTATAGGGATAAAAAAACTCAAGTTTTTGGTAAACAACTCAAGTTTACATACCTAATAATTGAAGAGAAAAAATGTAGAATTTAAAAAGTCAAGCAGGAAAGACAATGCAAAGTGTAAATAAATCGTACACTGAGTGGGCATGTTTGAGTTCATTCAATATCACATTTGCATTCCTGCCCCTTGGGCTTCCCCATTTATGTTCTTTTATTAAAGCTCCAATTTATTTACATTCTGGTATTTTATTAAAAGAGTCTTCTATGAAAGTTGGTGAACGAGACATTGCTCTGTAAAGAAGGAAAGCATTGCTAAACATAATCTAAAAGATAGACAACTGTCATTTAAAAGCTGGAAGCGAGGATTGCTCTGATAGGTTACAAACCATGACAGGAGTTGGACCATATGATGATATCACTAGAACATGGCTGAGCAAAATCTATGTCGTACTATGTGCTCGCGTGCACACACACTGACTTGTGGTCCTGTTCTTTCATGTCCACTGCATTGTGTTCTCTTTCCCTCCCATTAATCATGCACAGTGACTCCTCCTCCTTGAGTCAGCCCCTGCCTTCCTCTAGCACAGGTGCTAAGGAGTTTCAGCCGGAAGCTCAGGTGAGCCTGACCCTGGGCAACCCCAGTCAAACCTGGCAGTATTTGATATTAGCCCATCTCTACTTGGGGTTAGGAAATCTAAAGCAGTGGTTCTCAAAGTGTGGTCCTGGAACCAGGGCCATCAACATTGCCTGGAAGGTGGTAGAAACACACATTCTTAGGCCCTGGCCCAGACCTACTAGATCAGAAACACAAGCAGGGGCCCAGCAGTCTCCATGTGGCTGCAGTGCTCACTCAAGTTTGAGAGCCATTAGTTTCAACTTGGTCTTCCTGCTTGGATGCTGTCTGCCAGTGGTGACTTCCTGGGTACTCACATATCTATGCACTTCTGTTTTCTGCCTCTGATTTCCTCGTGACTGGCTCTCTGCCCAATTTCAAATTAACTCTCATTCCCAGCTGAGATTTCCATTTTGCCTGTTAGGATGCAGCCCTGTCAGCTCCTGTCCCTAAATATGGGCCCTGCCTTTATTCCACTCCCTACCTGGCAGGTGCCCAAGTCTGGCATGGAATCAGTTGGGCCACTTGGAGTCAGTTCCCACTGGAGCATCTCCATGACCTGGCAATCCACGTGGTGCTCCCGGCAGGCCATGGAGGACACCTCACCTGTGAATGCTGTGGTCCATACCACTATCTCTCCCTGTTAGGCCCCATCCTGTAACCTGCATACTTGTTCTAAGCTGCCTACAGCCCCATCACAATCATTGCCTCTCGCTGCTGACCTGGGTGTGGAGAGACTGCATGAGCCCTCACATCTATTAGAAGTCAATGGACACCTTTGAATATCACTGCAGGAGAGTAAGGTTAAACACTTACGCGTAAAACATTTCACTGATTTGGGGACAACCTCTACAGGGTAAAGAAAGACAACAGTAGAAAATAAGTTATATTTGTATCACTTTAAAAGAATGTTGACATCACTGTTATTTTCTGAACATTCTAATTTACCTGATAGGGTATTTGATAATTTTATCTTGTGGGAATTGGTATACTCTAACTTTTGTTTTCCAAGCCCTAAGTTTTCCATGCATGAATCCACCTACTGAATTTTATTTCCCAGAAACCTGAACATACTGCTGTCTCACTAACAGTTCACAGGGGATCCAGCGCTGTAGAGTTGAATGCAATATGTGTGCTCATCCTTAGGAGCCTATGGGTAGCCACCACTGTGAAAGAAATTGCAGGTCACATTTATGTGCCTAGAAGCAATTCCACAAGCGTTTCATAACACTCTCCACTCGCTTTTGGTCAAAGCCCTTTTATGCATTTGGTCAATATTCACAGGACCTCAAGAGGTCTTTTTTTCCTTGAATTTGGTTTACTGTGTAGCCACTTGGTCCAGTTTAGGCATAAGTTTTCTTACACTAAACGTCTTACACTAAACTTCCTGTTTCTGCTTCCTCTTTATCAAATGGATAGAAAACGGGCAGTAAATGCTTAACAAAAGCAATTTATATTTGTGATTATATTCATTTAAATTTTTGTGTAGCAATTATTTTTTCAGTCCTACTATGTGCCAGGCACTATGTTGGTGCTGGAATAACAGAGTTGTTGACTGTAAGAATCTTCTTGGAAGTCCTTTTGCAGTCAGATGGATCTTTTCCTGGCAGATATGGGTAAGAATTTGCTTTACAGAGAGTGGTTGGGAACCAGGGAGGGATTGTGTGATTGAGCAAGATGTATGGCTCTGAGAAATAAAATGTAAGGTGCCTAAAGTACTATTACATTCTGGAATGACAATGACGATCCAGGTCAAAGAAACACTTAAATAAAGACAACATTTAAGAATAGATTTACTCATGTTCAGAACTGGCACCAGCTACCCATTTTTGTCAAATTGTGGAGCACCTGCATCCTTCATGTTTACAGAAAGCACCTTCCAGGCACTGCTAACTGGAGGCCCCGGTCTGAAGACTTGACTTCCTTTTCCTCTGAGAAATTGTCTAACTGGTGTATATAACGTCCCTCAAGCTAAAAACATATGGCTCACTAATCAAGTATGTTTAAGCATTCCGTGTCCCTAGTTCTATCTTAAGTGCTGTGAGGAATTAAAAACAAAACAAATTCACTTTCTCATTTGCATCATAGCTTTTTCTGTATAAATCCTATTAGATTGTGAGTAACTTGAGGACAAGACCTGTGTCTTACTAGTTTTTGTAAACTCCCTAACATATCACAATGTACTCAATAAATACTGTCGAATGGAGGAATTCAGAGATAAATTAATTCCTCTCTAGGGACAGAGTGTAAAGAGACACTGTCCTGAGGTTTCTAGGAGTCTTGAGAAAGTCAGTTTAGTTGGTGACAGGTCATATTGTTTCACCTTGTGAATGAAGGTCAAAATTTCCCCAGGGCAAGTTCATGTACAGACCTACCATTGTACTCTTGACCAAGTCAGCCACGCCAGAAATGGAAGAGTGCAGCCATGCCTGGTTCTGATTTCCTTGGTGAAACAGTGCCACTCACCTGATCTGAAGCCAAGTCAGCATGGGGGTTGTTCCCCCTCCAAACACCCAGACTGTGAAGAACACGAGCAGCAGCGTGGTGGTAAACATCATCTGCTTGGGCTGAGATTCTGTGTCCCGAATAGCTAGGGCAAATGCTATAGCTCCTCGCAGGCCTTACAGGGAAAATCAAAAGGAGACAATAAACACCTCATTTAATTGAATTTAGCTTTATCATTTGCTAACAAACACACTTTTTATTTTTATTTATTTTTTAAATTAATTAATTTTTTTATTGTTAGTTTCAGGTTTACAGAGAAATTACTTTTTTAAATTAAACTTTGTATTTTGAGATAATTGTAGCTTTGCAGGCTACACATAATAGCCTCACACACATAATAGAGACTTACTGTGTGCCTTCTCCCCCCATTGATAATAACATCTTGCAAACTAGTACAATATTACAACCAGGTTTTTGACACTGATACAGTCAAGACACAGGACATTCCCATCAGCACAAAGATCCCACATGCAGCCCTTTTATAACCATATCTAATTCACTCCTACACACTTCCTCCTTAACTTCTGGCAACCAGTAACCAATTTTCCATTTCCATAACTTTGCCATTTCAAGAATATTACATAGATGGTCTCATGAAATATGCAGCCTTTTGGGATTAACTTTTATCACCCAGCATAATTCTCTGGCTATTCTCCAAGTTGCCAAATGTATCAACAGTTCATTCCTTTTGATTACTGAGTGACATTCCATGGTATAGATGTTCCAGTTTGTTTAACCATCCATCTATTGAAGGACATCTGGGCTGTTTCCAATTTGGGACTATTACAAATAAGGGTGCTGTATGAAAACATAACTTTTCATTTCTCTGAGATAAATTCCCAGGACTGCAATCCCTGACACATGTGGTATTTGTATATTTTAAAAAGAAATAACAAACTATTTTCCAGAGTGACTGTACCATTTTACATTCCCTCTAGCAATACATGTCATGCAGTTTCTCTGCATCCTCACTAGCATTGATTGTTGTCACTATTATTCTATTTTAGCCATTCTAATAGGTGCGTGGGGAAAGCTTATTGTGGTTTTGAATTTGCTTTTCCTAATGACTAATGGTGTTAAACATTTTTTAATGTGCTTATTTGTTATCTTTTTTTCCTCTTGGATGAAATGTCTCTTCACGTCCTAATATTATTTTCTAATTGGATTGTTGGATTTTTGATTGTTGGGTTTTGAGAGTTCTTTAAATTTTATAGACAATAGTCCTTTGTTCGATATATATTTTGCAAATATTTCCTCCCATTTTGTAGCTTTCTGTTGATGAAGTCTAATTTGTTGCTTTTTCCTTTTATGAATCACGCGTTTGAAATCAAGTCTAAGAACTCTTTGCTTGGATCTAGATCCCAAAGATTTTCCCTTATATTTAATTATTTTCCCTAAAAGTTGTATAGCTTTATATTTTACATTTAAATCCATGATCATTTTGAATTAATTAATTTTTCTATAAGGTATGAGATTTAGGTCGACGTTCATTTTTTTTCACCTATGGATGTTCAATTGCTCCACTGAATTGCTTTTATTGTCTTTGTCAAAAATCAGTTGGGTGTATTTGTGTGGCTCTATTCTTGGGTTCTCTATTTTGTTCCATTGATCTATGTGCCTGTCCTTCTAATGCCACACTGCTTTGATTACTGTAGATATATAGTAGGTCTTAATATTGAGTACAGTGATTCTTATATTTCATTTTCAAAGTTATTTGAACTATTCTAGGTATTTTGCCTTTCCATAAAATTTTAGAATAATATTGTCTATATCTAAAAATAAAACCTTTCTGGGCACATTTCCTTTTCATAAAACAAATATGTCAGATGACAATGAAAAGGAATGTTATGGAGCACTGAAACTTAATAAATAAATAACATTGAAAAATTACTCCAGCCTGAGTAAACACTTTTATAAATTCTATAATTTAAACTAACCTAGTAAAACCTGATTTTTCCTGTTTTCCTTTTTCTTCATTAATAACAATATGCTAATTGAATTTTTATGAATCCACATTAAATATATTTCCAAGAAGAGGTATTAAAGGTTAAATGCCAAAATTTCAAATCCAAGTGTGATGACATTAATAATAACAGAGATGTAGACTTTGAAGAAGAGTAAATAAAAGCATAAGCAGTAAAGTAAAAATTAAAATGGAAGGTAAGGTAACTCTCTTGGGTAACACAAGACTTGCAAGACATTTATGAGCCCTGTTATATTAGGTAACAGGACAAATAAACATTTATAATGACAGCAGGTATAAGTCAAAGAGATAGTAATTTGGTTATTTTTATAGGAAGGTATAAATCACATACATAAAATTTTAGATTCATATAAAAATATAAAATTTTTATATTTACTGTGTCATCTAGATTTCTAAATTTCCAAATTTTTATTCATACATTAAAAGTATTTTAGAAATCAAATACAGGGTAGGATGAGGAAAATTCTAACCAGCCTGGGTTTTATCCTGGGTTCCCAATTTAGGATATAATGCTCCTTTTTTATCTCCATGCTGAGAATATACAAGAGACAAGTGGCATAAAGACAAGATCCAAAGGATTAGACTAGAGAGACTTAATGTATTTTGCCTGACACAAGAAAGCCTCAGCAAGAGAGGAACATGCATTCCGATTATAAAATACCTTTAAGGAACAAAATGTAATAGAAGAAGGAAATTATTCTAAGTCTCCATGTAGACAAGGCAATGGCCTGAAGATAAAGAAGATAACATTTGAAGTAGATATTAATAAAAGAAAGTTCTTATATCAGAAATTCTGAACACTTGAGATGACTGCACTCCAGAAGAAAAGTCTTCACAAGAGATGTTCATGCATTCAGACCCAGCTGAGGATGAGAGGGGATATTAATAACCCTTGATACTGGGGGATATTTTAATAATGTTCTCTTCAGGAAATACAAATGGTGTCATTAGGGAATGAAAACTCAAGGAAACAGTCTTGCAACTGACTTCTGTATCTGAAGAGAGAATTTACAGGTCAAGTAAAGCTCCTAACAGTGTTTAATCACAGTACCAAACTGGAGATAGACAGTGATCTTTTTAGTTTTCTATTTTCCTCAAGCTCACATTGTTAGAATGTCCATAAAGGAGCATTACCCCAAATTAAGTGGTGAGTAATTAAAAGTATTAAGTGATGAGACTCTAAGTATTTGTTTTTATTTTTTTGAATGTGTGTGTGTGTGTGTGTGTGTGTGTGTGTGTGTGTGTGTGTTTACTTGGAATTTTTGCAAGAAGAAAAAGAACAGAGACTGGAATAAAAGTTAAAACTTGCTATACCAGGCTTATTGTAAAGTCTTTCATGTTAGATATCAAAGTCAAGGAAGAACACAATCATTTATCTTCTTAAATATGTGTAATAATGTATTGCTGTTATGTTAAACTAGCCTAACTGCTCTTAAATCTAAATTACCTATACATGAGTAGTTCTTGGTTTAAAAATATACTCAAAAGATATCTGTTGTTCTGACTTCTAAAAAATATATATCCTATGTATAAAGCTCTCTATTTATAAGATGCAATGTAGAGATCTCTGGGGGGAAAAATAGTGTAGCCACTGATTTGTACTTGTGTCAGGTTAAGAAATATTGTTAATTAGGGCCAGACTGTAAGATGTTGACAAGAGGATGCCTTCTGTATATGATGACCACCTAAAAATCTATGGAGCGTTTTTGGGAGAAGGAGTCATCTGTCTGTAGTCCTGGTCACATGTGGGACATATGGCACATGCCACATGTGAGATGGCCAAACAGCATGGGGAGCACGAAATGGAGGTGAGGTTGCTAAGTGGACAACGTAGAGCTAACTTAGAACTCCAGATAAGAACTACTGCTTTGTCTCCCTCATCCTTTATGATTCGAAAGTTATTTAGCACACATATGGAGCCTAGACAATTGTCAAATCAATGACCATTCATTACTTCATTCAACACATGTGTGTCTTAGTCAGACATAACAAAATGCTATATGAGCTGCATAACAAAATACCATAGACTGTGTATCTTCAACAACAGAGATTTATTTCTCACAGTTTGGGAGGCTAGGATGGCCAAGATCAGGGTGCCAGCATGTCAGGTTCTGGTGAGATCTCTCTTCCTGGCTTGCAGATGGCCATATTCTCGCTGAGTGAGAGGAAGCTCTGCAGTGTGTCTTCTTATAAGGGCACTAATCCTAGTATAGGGGCCTTACTCTTATAACCTCATCCTAACTCACTTAACTCCCAAAGGTCCCATCTCCAAATGCTATCCTATAGGGGTTTAGGGCTTCAATATATGAATTTGGGAGACACAATTCAGTCTGTAGTAGTGTGTACTTATTACCTGCCATGTGGAGGTTCTGTGCCCACTTGCCCTTTTTTCTTCTCATGGATTTGGGAAACAGAGGTCTTTAGGATTGAAATAAGTTACTCAGGCAATCATCAAAATACTAGAAGTGAAAAATTAATATTGATTTAAGAGTTTCTTTCAGCTGATGACTGTTTCCAAAGAACACATAGCATTTTGCTTAGAAACTCAGGAAATCCAGAACTCATTGTCAAACTTGTGTTTTGTTTCATTTTATGGATATTTTGGCCATTTGGATTTACCTTTCTTTTTCTCTTTTTTTGACTAACTAATGGAAATAAGTCCATACTTTTGAGGCTTGATAGACTACACTATTTTATTTTAGATGGATTTACTTTGCAGTGATTTGACATATTTCAGATACTTAGTTGGAAAGTTAGCATCATCTTGGGGGAATAAAAGAATTACCTGCAATTAAATGTGGTTTCACTTAAAATTGGTCTCTAAGAGATCCTTATGTTAATTAAGTTTATGTACCATTCATAACAATAGAAGATTACTGAACCAAGGAAAGCTTTCTAGTAAGGACCCCTGCTGCAGAAAAGGTGCAGCTTACTATTTATCCTTAAAGAGTAAAAGTGAAACTTAACCTGTTATACTTTTGCAACTGAGTTCTGAATGGGTAAAGGTCAGGTACAGTTACATTACAATCAAAGCCATATATGTGATTTTTACTGAAGGCACAAAGCAATAGTCAGAAACTAAACATTTGTTAAGCACATTACACAAGAGATGGTGGTGGGTATAAAGATGA